CCACATCTAGAAAACTGAAGGCAAACACTTTCTAATTCTTTTCTATATGTACTAGAAAACATTCTTTAAAGGCACAATGATATCCAACAGATAAACAAAAGTTTTCCTAAAACTTTTGGTTAAGGAAATTTTGTGTAGAAATAAACTGAATAAGGACAGCAAATGAAAAAATAAGACATATATGAACAAGTAAAACAAAGCTTTATTTACAAAAATATGTCTATGTCAGCACCATATTGGCCTGCTTTTTAATTTATGCTGTGAGTTCCCATTCGTTGCTAAGGTAGGACGAGGATAGAAAGAACAATGTTATACCGTAATTTCATATAAAACAAAGGGATCCTAGTGAGGTATCTCACAATTCTTACATTACCTGTGTGAAAATTTGTTTCAAATAACATATTCAAGAGAGTAACACTAAACTCATGCTAATTTGTAGAGATCATTGTATTGTCCCTTGATATAAACATGCTTAGCCCCACAGAGTGGACACAGATACAGGATTAAATTGATACAAGCTCCCATTAAATAGAGGTTGTCGTATATAACCTTTATCTGAGCAAGAATGTGTTTACGAAACTTCCGACATCCGGTTTGCTGGGATAATTACGTTCAGAAAATCTAGATGAAAATTAAGAAAAATGACCAGAGTATGTCTTACTACAGACATGTTATAAATTGGTTGTGAAATGGTAAAATTATCAGTTAGTTTAATTGCAACAAAGCTATGAAATTATCAGTTGCTTCTTAATTTGCTTGTTTTAGAATTTTCACATAAAGCTACGCAAAGGTTATTGGCGTTATATGTTCGTAGTTTTTAAGTGATAGACAAAGAGGGAAGGCAGCTAGTCAGACGCATCCACAGCGTCTCTAATCGAATAGTGGGGGTTTGATTGCTACTATTATAACGCGTCCATGGCTCCATAGGAAAGCGAGATTTTGTGGTAACGGAACCTGAATCATAACCCCTGAATTAGAAGTCCGGTATGTGAGCCACTAGGCTTGTTTGTTTATTTGTTTGAAGTTATGCACAAAGCTACACAATGAGCTATCTGTGCTCGGCCCACCATGAGTATCAAAACCCGGTTTCTAGCGTTGTAAGTCCGCATACATACCGCTGTGCCACTGGGGGCGCCACTAGGCCATGCCCGCCATATATCATATTTAGTATAATGTTTATATCACAGTTTATTATTCGAACACTAATCTAATTAAGCACATGTTTTACATTTTAAAAGGGCGGGACATTCTGTGTTGATCTTGCCTAGCATCATTTTATTAATCGTTACAGAGTTTTTTTTTCGAGCATTTTTTCTAGTTGATTGTAAAAGTGAAAATCTATTTCATGCACTTTAAATAACCTTCGCACAAAGAATTACACTATTCTTATTAATGAACAACTAACCCAAAACTTTTTTATGACTTACAGAAAACTGTAGTATTTTTGGTTATCTTTACCTATTGGTTCATGTTTGCTTTATTTTTCAACGTAATTTAATTATATTTACCTATAAATTACTCAACTCAATTTAATTTTACAAGCTATATCTGTCATTAAGCCTGTTTGATTCAGAAGATCATATATTTTCAACGCAAGTGTTTTTTTTTAATATTAGTTTATATTTTGTGCTTCATAATTAAGTCATTTGCTAAACATTTCGGCTTTACTACTTCGTAACGAAACAAGTTTCTTAAGTAAAATTTGTTCATAACTGAAACCAGTGTAAGTAAGGTGTTGTGATAGGGAAACTGTAAACAAAAGTAGTTAAGTATTGTGTAGTGATAACTATACTGTAAACAACGGTAGGTAAGTATTCTGTTGTAATAACTATAGTGTAAACAACAGTAGGTAAGTAATGTTTTGTGATAACTATACTGTAAACAACAGTAGGTAAGTACTCTGTTGTGATAACTATACTGTAAACAACGGTAGGTAAGTATTCTGTTGTGATAACTATAGTGTAAACAACAGTAGGTAAGTATTGTGCTGTGATAACTATATTGTAAACAATAGTAGGTGAGTAGTGTGCTGTGATAACTATACTGTAAGCAACAGTAGGTAAGTATTGTGCTGTGATAACTATACTGTAAATAATAGTAGGTGAGTAGTGTGCTGTGATAACTATATTGTAAACAACAGTAGGTAAGTACTCTGTTGTGATAACTATACTGTAAATAATAGTAGGTGAGTACTGTGTTGTGATAACTATATTGTAAACAATAGTAGGTGAGTAGGGTGCTGTGATAACTATACTGTAAACAACAGTAGGTAAGTACTCTGTTGTGATAACTATACTGTAAATAATAGTAGGTGAGTAGTGTGCTGTGATAACTATATTGTAAACAACAGTAGGTAAGTACTCTGTTGTGATAACTATGCTGTAAACAACAGTAGGTAAGTACTGTGTTGTGATAACTATACTGTAAACAACAGTAGGTAAGTAATGTTTTGTGATAACTATACTGTAAACAACAGTATGTAAGTACTGTGTTCTAATAAATATACAGCTAACAACAGTAAGCACTGTGCTGTAGTAACTATGTAACTAACAATAGTGCTGTGTCCATTAATTACATCTTTGAATCTGTTTTTAACACTTATCTCCAACTGTTGATACGTACCTAATGAAATAAACCGCTACTCTTGTCGTAAAGTAGTTTTTATCTAATGATATTTCGTTCGTTTCTCATGCGGCATTTCATAGCCTTTCAGAGAAGCTGAGATGGATTCAGTTCAGAGTTTTTAGTTATCCAAGTCGGATTATAAGCCCTTCCAAGAACTTTCAATGGATTTAGATCAGAGTTTTTAGTTATCCAAATCGGATTATAAGCCCTTCCAAGAACTTTCAATGGATTCAGATCAGAGTTTTTAGTTGTCCAAGTCGGATTATAAGCCCTTCCAAGAACTTTGAATGGATTCAGATCAGAGTTTTTAGTTATCCAAGTCCGATTATAAGCCCTTCCAAGAACTTTCAATGGATTCAGATCAGAGTTTTTAGTTATCCAAGTCCGATTATAAGCCCTTCCAAGAACTTTCAATGGATTCATATCAGGGTTTTTAACTGTCCAAGACAGTTTACAAACCTTTCAGAGCACTTCCAATGGATTTCGATCAGGATTCTGAAATGGACAAGGCAGATTAAAAGCCTCCCAGAGCATTTCCAGTGGATTGAAATCATGGTTCTGAATTTGCCAAGACGGTATTTGGCTGAAATGAATGCTAGGCATGATGTAAGAGGAACGGTCTTTCCCATAAAACACCATTAATACAGACAGTGTATCATTTTTCATAATGTCACCATATGATAATACATTAGTTAACTATTATCTTAACTATTCTCAGAGCACCAGGAACAAGCCAACTAAAACATGTCTTCGTCATAATACTACTATACCCTGTTTCATGGCTGAGATGACACAGGGAGTGATAGCTTATGTCTTGCATTCAGGACTGCTGTAGTAAGAAGTTTACAGGCTGTGGCTCGTGCGATAAATAAGGTAGCAGAGAGTTCTCAGAAACATTCTGAAATTGCTATAGAATATAGTCCTAAACTATCATTGAAATTTGATGAATATAATGCATTCCATTTCACAACACGTTCTAATGTCCACAGAGACCGAGGAATGACTAGATACGGGCGGCTGTGTCAGTGATTCACATAAGCAAAACAAATGAATTCTATATCTGAAGGACATTATCCACAGTGAGTTTAGCTACGAATGGTTCGCCTGAAGTGTTTCATACACTTACATTACCAATTCTGCATTCAAGAATATATCCTTCGCTAACTCTTTTATCCGAAACAATTTGAGTTCAACGTGGCTGGCTGTAGCTTTAGAATCCCTTCAAAGCAGAGCACCGTGAAATTCACGTGCAAATTCTGTAGAGAGGACGAGTTAATCAATAGTTTGGGGTTCCAACACTTTGACAATAAGGTGTAGGAAAAGTAGATTAATTCTATATTCAAAAGTTAAAGGAAATATATTAATGTTTGTTTATATTTAGCGCAAATCTACACAATAGGCTTTAGAAACGTGTTAAAACTTGATTGAACAATCATTAGCAGAACTACCCCCCTCCAGTGACTCAGTGGTAAACAACAATCATTAGCGGAACTACCCCCCTCCAGTGACTCAGTGGTAAACAACAATCATTAGCAGAACTACCCCCTCCAGTGGCTCAGTGGTAAACAACAATCATTAGTAGAACTACCCCCCCCCTCCGGTGGACTCAGTGGTAAACAGCAATCATTAGCAGAACTACCCCCCTCCGGTGGCTCAGTGGTAAACAACAGTCATTAGCAGAATTACCCCTCCGGTGGCTCAGTTGTAAACCACAATCATTAACAGAACTCCTCCTCCCTTCCAGTGGCTCAGTGGTAAGCAACAATTATTAGCAGAACTACCCCCTCCGGTGCCTCAGTGGTAAACTTGAGGACTTGTAACGCTGTTAATCGGGGTTCGATACCCATGGTAATCACAGCGACAAACATAGCAGAACAAAATTAATTTCTGTGTGTTAGTGACCTCATATCTGGAAACAATCAGATACTTATTTGTATATTTATGCTAAAACACAAGAAGCGACTTCAAAATTTATAAAGATTTTAAAACAAGGGTAACATCTCGTTAATTGTGTCACAAGAGAGATATGACGGGGTTCTAGAGAAGCTTAAGACTTATAATTCAAAAGTCGAAGATAAGTAAAAATTAATCTTAAGGTACTTCTTCCCCGTTATCTTATCCTTCGATAACTACAACAAATTTATTTATTTCCAGAAAGATGCATTGTGGGTATGGGCCCACCTTACAGTCGTCGATAATGTTCTGGTAGGTAACACTTGCAAATTATCCATTTTCTTTTGTTGCGAAGCCACAATTTTCGTTGTTCTAGTCCTATATTATAAACTAAAAAACAAAGAACAAGGTCTTCAGTTGACACCAATATCAAAACATTGTTGAGACAAAGTGTATGAGTGGATATCCAGAAACTACAATGATTTAGAATATCATTTTATTGTTCCATTCATTATCATATGTATTTCCATCATGATCCTAGAACAAAGGAAATGAACTTTTTTTTTTGAAATACTTATCACGAGAAAAACAGAAATTGAACAAAAATACAAGATAGCGAAACAACGCTTGTTTACAACAATTACTCTTGCCTGAATTAGCAACAATAACACATCAACTATGAAACGTACAAAAGATAATGACAAAAAAAATGATCGTTTCCGATAAGTTCTGCGTGATATCGAAACCCTAACAGGTAGAAAATAACTCAGAGCTACAATTTTTGTTAAATTATCACTTTTATTGTTGTTTACTTCTCAGAAATCCGATATTATTAAAGATCATCAGTTTTTACATCAGTTAATCTTCTGGTAAAACTCTTTCGGCTGAATCTTGATCTCTGACCTCCAATGGTTCTAAATATTAGAAAAGAATACTGTTATTAGTAGACTGACAAAAATCAAAAGTCGATCAACAGAAAATTTATTCTTAGTAAGTTAAAGCTAATAAAAAAAAATCCCATATTTAAAAAAACTACTTGTTTCGAAAACTACTTAAAAATCTACGTGCTTCAAAATCATATTACACTATATACCTAAACCACAAACCCGATTGTCCACTACGACCCATATTGTTGACCTATGAATTGTTTAACTATAACCTTGGTAAACACAAAGCGTGGTCATTTTTTATATATGTAACATCAGCAGGATCCTTTTTTAAGGATTCTTTTAACTTTAAATCTGTTCTGGATCAAATAAACCATAAAGCCTTAATGGCCAGTTTGATGTAATCTCCCAACTACTGAAGCCTGCAAGATAGCTTTAGAACTTTATAAGACCCCAATCCATTAATACACATCCACAGTAATCAACGAGCAACTTTTCTATAATTCGGTACCATCAAAACTTCATGTTCAACAACCAGAATTTACATACAAATAAATGGCTTAAGTATGGGCAATCCCGTGTCACCAATTCTAGTCAACATTTTCATGACACACATTGAATTTCAAACGATCAATTTAGCCTTACACCCACCACTATACTGGTACAGGTATATTAACGATACATTTGCTGGATTTACATGTACAGAGCATACACTTAGTTTTTCAACCACGCTAACTCCAAACACCCCCCAACATTAAGTTCACCTGTGAACACGAAAAAGCTAAACAAATAACATTTCTCGACCTTAAGATCACAAGAACCGATACACAATTCAAAACAGAAACCAACAGAAAAATCACCCATACTAGACTATACATTACAAAACAAAAATTCAACATGTTAAAATAAACCAAATAAACACAGCCACAAAACTATGCTCACCAGATAAAATTAACAAGGAAATCAAACAATTAAAACAACACTTCCTTAACGTCAATAAATTGCCTTCAAAAACCGTAAAATAAATCATACACACAAACCTAGGCCAACAACAAAATCAACAGCAAACAAACAATAATAAATTCAATGAAACAACTAACTATAAAATCCTACACTGTTGCATACCGTATATTCCCGATATTAGCGATAAAATAATCAATATTAGGAAAAACTTACAACAAAACATAACATTCTAATAAACACTAAATTCATTCAAAAATCGGGTACAAAACTAAAATCCATACTATATATAAAAACTACACTGACAAACATAACACCAGATTCAATGAACACAGAAAAAACTCTGTAAAACAAATAAACATAACCATAGAAAACACCAACATATCAAGTAGAGAAACAAATACAAACAAACGAAAAATCAAAGAAGTCCTACTTATACACGAACTCAAACCAAAATTGAACCAACATAAAGGAACACCTTTATATTAATCACCTAACTGCTACGCCCCCTACAATCTCGTAGCTGTTTACACTCTCGTCTCTAAGACATGTGCCTAATAACGGACAATTTCAAACTGTCTTTGTTAACCTGAAGATGACCTAAGAAGGTCGAAACGTTGTTCTTGTACTTTATTTTAATTAAAGTTTTAATACCCATATCAGCCGTCTCTGCTATACATTTTTACTTCAAGTGGGTTTCTCGTCATCATTAATTAACAATGAATTCTGTCCTGAACAGATTATGCATGTAGCAGCGTCATTAAGAGATGTGATAATTGAGAATGACGAAAAAACGTATTTAACTCCTTTAGTATCAGTTTTCAAAACTTTGTACCATCTCCACACTATTCTGAATCAAAACTATGATCCTCAATGTGCCTCCGATAAGATTTAGTTTCCTTAAGTCAAGTAGTTTCAAAGATGAAATCATTTTAAATATGTATGTTTTATTCATAACCATCCTGTACATATATATTTCCGATTATTTTTGATGTGCAAAGTGGCAATTAGAGTATGTTTTTTATGCACATTTGTGATAAAATTATTATGTGACTTTGTCAGCGAGCAGTATAAGCTTAAATGTCAAAACCAACACAAGTCCAATCGTAATGAAGACGTGCGTTCGAACAGTTAGCGTCACAAAAGTTAACACTTTTCTCTGGAGTACTAGGACTCTTTTGTTTAATTATGTGAATATTTCAATTTTAAATAATATTTCAGTATAGAACGCCTACACATAGAAATATTATTAAAGAGTATCAAGTTTATTGAAGGTTTCGCAAAACTAACTTCATAATTTAGGCCTCGTGAAACAAACAATTTCTCATAAAGAAAATAATGTTTTTCCAGTACACAGTAATTTGCTCTAAAAATTAAGAAGTACAGGAGCAAAGACTCTAACAAGTGTTTCAGCACTGTCAGTAAATTTTAAAAACTTTTGAACTTGAATATCATCTCCATGGTTACATTAATTTTATTATTCTTATATAACTGAGTATTTTCTCTGGGATTACACTAGTTTTACTGCGCTCACGTGACTCTGAATATCATCTCCATAGTTACACTAGTTTCACTACGCTCACATGACTCTGAATATCATCTCCATGGTTACAGTAATTTTGCTAACCCTACATGAATATGAAAATTATCTCCATGGTTACATTAGTTTCATTATTGTTGATCTGTCAAAATAGTAAGTTATCTAATAGTTGGTTATAGAGATCGAATATGCCAATTTTACCTGTATTGTTATCTTTAAAAATAAATAAATATTCAAGATAACACCATAGTATCTTCTCTGATACTTCTACATTAGTTTAAACTTATTATACATTTTGTTCACATGCATACGTAGATATTCATAATAGCCCAATGTTCTTGTACTTTTCTAAAATATTTTAAACTGAATGACGTCAAGACGTTGATGATCACAGTTGATGTTTGTTATAATGTTTTGGTTTGTTTTATAAATCTTTCACTTCTTTGTTGCTTTACCAAAACAATAAATAGGCATATAAATCTAGTAGACACATGTTGTAATGTAATACTATGATTATGTTTAAAACTGGGACAAAGCTTCAATCATTGTCAATATTCCTGTGATTACGGTAATTATATATGTATCATACAAGCTGATCATAATTTAACGTCTGTCGAGTTCGATCACTATTTATCTAACTCTGATATTGAAAATTAAAGATAAACATCTTGAAATTTATACATGTATACATATGTGTGTATATGTATATATATATAATGAGAATGTACAGGTGAAGTTAAACTATCCAAATAAATGCTAAGCTTAGTTCTTAGAACACTAGTTCGTAAGATTGAAGCCAAGCTCGTACGTAACCTTGAGATGACCCCACATAACATATGTGTATATATATATATATAATGAGAATGTACAGGTGAATTTAAACTATCCAGATAAATGCTAAGCTTAGTTCTTAGAACACTCGTTCGTAAGATTGAGGCCAAGCTTGTACGTAACCTTGAGATGACCCCACATAACACAACTTTCGAATTTGTTTTTAATCTAATCTAATTTTAATAAATCATTCTTTATTAATTCTGATATCATGTTTCTTCACATAGTAGTAAATGATTTAATGCATGTGGGTAGCTCAGAGTTAAGCCCGAGGATTTATACTGCTAAAATTAGAGTTTCGATACTCGCGATAGGGAAAGCGCAGGTAGCTCATTGTGCAACCTTGCGTTTAACAACAAAGAAACAAAAGCACGTGGGTAATTCATTCAGGTCTTCTAAGACTAAAAAATGTTCAGAAAGAATTACTCCTAGTTGAGGAATAAAACTGTTGTACGAAATCATAATTTTTCTGGCAAATAAGTAGACAGATGAACAGAAGATTGTTTTTGTTTATTTGTACAAAGCTACACAATGGGCTATCCGTGCTGTACCCACCACGGCTATGGAAACACGGTTTTTTTGCGTATAAGTCCTCAGGTTTACCGCTTTGCCACATAAGAAAGTAAAGATGGACGTGTAAAGATATATGTGTACATTATATGAGTGTGCTTTGTTCAGGGATGAGGTGAGCGTGACGTCTTGGTGCAGTAAAGATGGACGTGTAAGGGTGTGTGTGTACATTATATGAGTGTGCTTTGTTCAGGGATGAGGTGAGCGTGACGTCTTGGTGCAGTAAAGATGGACGTGTAAGGGTGTGTGTGTATATTATATGAGTGTGCTTTGTTCAGGGATGAGGTGAGCGTGACGTCTTGGTGTAGTAAAGATGGACGTGTAAGGGTGTGTGTATATTATATGAGTGTGCTTTATTCAGGATGGGGTGGAAGTAACGTGTTTTGCGCAGAAAATCTGGACCTTTAAGGATTTGTGCACATTTTATAAGTGTTCTTGTTCTTTGACAAGATTAATGTGACGTTTTTGGAGAAGTGACAATGGACATGTAATTCCCGAGTAACTGTTGTTCTGCAAGACGTGAGTAGAAACAATCCGGATAAAGTGTAATAAAAATTAGTTAATACGCTTAAATAAAAACTTTATTTAGTTTTATATTGTGCAACATTTCTGGTAGACGCCTATCGACAGGAAGTAGATAAGGTGTTACATATAAATTAGGCTAATAAAGAATCGTTAAAGGGTTAGAATATACAGAGGTTCCAGTTACACACATTACAAATATATAGTTTAGGGAGAAGGTTGTTGAGTTATCTTTTGTAATTAGTTTTTAATTTCTAAGAAAATGGAAGATTTTGGAAAAATAGATATATAAATACGGAAAGTCATAAAAAGAAATTCGCACAATTATAAAATAATAATTCAGGGAAATACTTCTAAGAGGAAGGCTTTCACCAACGTAAGGCTGAGGATGAGATTGAGCAAGGAGTAAACGGTAAGTAAAGCACATTGAGAGAAAAATGTGATAGAATAAAAAAAAATGTATGGTTGAATATATTCATTTTAATTCCATAAGAAGACTTGGTGTTGAGTTTCAAATGAGGCGGTATTCTAGGCTTCCTCGTTTAGCCTGGGAAGTGGTGCATCTTTGATGATTAAGATTTACATATGGGGATAACAGAGGAATTGATGCTCCTAGTAACTGGGAGGTCATGTCAGTGGAGCTTTCTCTTACAGCAGCGTTTCTTAAGGTGGGGTCCAAATGACCTCTTGTGGGCGAAAGAGATTAGGGTAGAGGCAATAGAGCAATAACGCAAAATCCAGCGTTTGGATATATACTTTTATTAATGAAAATAATAAGTATGTGTGTGTTGTGTGTGTTTTTCTTATAGCAAAGCCACATCGGGCTATCTGCTGTGTCCACCAAGGGAAATCGAACCCCTGATTTTAGTGGTGTAAAACCCCTCGAATTTCCGCTGTACCAACGGGGGACAAATAATAATTATTACAACATGACCAGGTAGTTAGGGCGCTCGACTCGCAATCTGAGGGTCGCGGGTTCGAATCCCCGTCA